GCTGCCAGAATAAGTCATGTCAGCTCTTATTAACGTAAACATGTACTTGTATTTTCCAAGGATTCATACTGATAGAAACAGAAGGAGGCGATATGTATCATATGTATATTATAAGTTTTTTCATTCCCAGCCATATTTTGTGATTATGTTTTTCTCTTGTTGCCGTATGTAATTTCCAATAGGTGTAACTAATCGATCGTCGGACTATACTTATATAAGTGTTACCCCCAAATGGGTTGTATTTAATGCGTGTTCGTCCAGTATTCCAAGACGCAGCCAAATGGCATGAAAAATATACAAGTTGTCTTGTCATGATTTCGACTTGCTGTCCGAGTTGGAGTCAAAATGTTTTTGTGGCCAGACAAGTGCAATAGATACGGATGGGGATGGGGCAACCGCATGCTGTGCATTTTGAATGGTATTTGGACAGGGTCGAGAGCAGACCAAAACCAAAAGATGTCGCTGTTGCGATGTTGTTTTCATTTTGATGTGACAGCTACAAGTATCTTGTTTTCGTATCTTGTCGCTTGTGTGTTGCAGCTGTTCAACTAGGAGCAGTGCGAACTATTATTTATTAATTTTAATATCCTTGTCGTCGCCAGTTGTTATCCTATCAGCATTTCCACAGGCCGCATGGCCACAGGACCACAGGACATAGGACGCTCAACGCAACTTTCAGCGTGTCGCATCAACACGACTTTACGTTTGGAACGCATTTTCGTCACCACACCTTCCCCACCACAACCTACACTATATACTCCGTTTTTTCCTTGCGTTTTCCTTTTCCTAATCGAAATATGCGCCAAATCACGCTTGGGTAAGCCATCACTGGCTGAGCGTCAGTAGGATAAAGTGAAGCTACGTCATGCACAGAGGCATTTGAAATGCATTACGTTTTTTATTCCCTTGCCTTTGTTGGGATATTATTATTTAGTCACGACGCATGACACAGGCTTAGCTCTTCCATATTATAGCTTTAAAGCCACAGAAATTGCAGCTGTCTAGCACTTATCCCTGCTCTCAAAGCTCATTTGTCTATTCGTTTGGCATATAATCTTTGGAGTGCATTTATTTATAAGGGTATTTGTGGTTCGACCTCACTCTTTTTGCGAATGACACTGTCGTTGCACCATTTCTGATGCAGTTTTGATTGGCCACCGAATACCACGCATATTTCGCTGAGATTTACGGATTTACATGATAAAAAAATGTTCGAACATGCGCACCAAGGAAGATAAGGCTTTTCTACTTCAACCAAAATTTCAACAAAGATTTAACCAATTCAAGGATCTGGTAAGTAGTTAAATTATTTTTATGCAGTTTGTATATATACATTTTTTACTTAATCCTAAGGAAATTTTTCTACATTATAACTATTAGTTATGCTAAACAATGGACAATTATTATTTACATAAAATTCCCAATTGCCATTGCTCTGCAAAAAAAAAAACAAGATTGCTTGTGGAATGCCCATTATGTTCTCTAGATTCTTTTGACATCTAAATTATTTATATATATTGTGATTTTTTTTGTTGTGGAAATTAAATATCCGTAAATCTGAGCTTGGGTAGCTATATTATTTTGTGGAATGAAACTAGAATTCAAGTCAGATTTTACTAGTATGGCCTGTACAGATGTTGGTTAGCTTTCCTCTGTCTTTTCTGGTCGATAAACTGCTTAGGATGGGCATAAAAAGCAGTTGCTGTGAGTAAAATTTAGCATGAATTCGCTATCAAGCGGAACCCAACTCAAGTTCAAGTCCAAGCCCGTATCGAAAGCTGAACCTGAACCCGAACCCGAGGCCAAGGACAGGAATCAGGGCGAGGCTGCTTAGGGATAGGGATGAGTGTTTGTGTATGTGTGTGTGTGTGTGTGTGTGTATGTGTGTGTGGGTGTGTGAGTGTGTGTGTGTTTGTGGAAGGCAAGAAATCAGCAAGGCACATGCAAAATAAAACAGTTACATAACGGGCAGGAACACACAACCATACGCACACACATACACATAGAGAGAGCGAGGCAGCCGCATGCAACAAATAAGCTAAGCCCCCAGATTGTCTTATCGCATTGAATTAGGTGTCTAACCCTTATTTCAACTGCCAGAGAAACTCTGACATTTTTACGCTTATTCTCATTGTTGTTGTGGCTGCTTTGTTTTATTTTGGTGCCGCTTTCTATTTGGCCTGCTTTTGTTGATTTGCCGGCATGTATTTCGGCCGTTGAGCCCCCGGCAGCCTCTTTGCCAAGTTGTTGACACTTCGAGCATTTTCGGGGTTGTCATTTTGGCGCTCGCTTATCGCTGATTCAGGCAAAGCAACGGCGGCAGTCGTGAAAAGTGCACCCCCTCATCCAACCCCATGACAAGCGCGACGTCATTTAAATATTTATTACAATGAAATGTTTTAAATTGTTCCCCACTTCCGCTTGGCCGCCACGTTAAGGGCACAATTGTATTAAAAATGCATAAAGAGTTAACGCAAATTGCCGGTCAGCGGGACCAATGGCAACAATTATAGCCAACAACAGCTGCCAGATGCCAGGTAACTATGTTAGGTTCTTGCACCGCTCCAACCTCAGCGCGACATATCAAGGATAAGAGAGAGATACATGGTTAGCTCCTCACGGGTTACAGAGCGAGCAAGTGGGAGAAGGACAGCTGCATAGGATTTCTTTTTATCTAATTGCTTGCTAATTGGCACAAACATTTTAAATATGTGCAACTGCTAGTAAACGGTAAATAAAATCCAAGAGCATGTTCGGGGGCGTTTGGGGCGGATGTGGGTTGTATTTCGAAGCGCGATCAAAGTGCGCGCCTGCAACTCGCCAAATAACGTTGCAATATGCGCTAAAAGTTTGCGGCAGTGCAAAAGTTTGCGGCGCAGCAATTCGGTGTGGTGGCAATTTTTTGCGCTCACTTCCGCCGGAAGTCGGTAAAGTGTGCGTCTAAGTGCTCATCAGTTGGCCAGGCCACCCCGTACCAGAGCCCCACTCCCCCAAGCACACACACACAACACTCCACCACCCTGCACAGAACTGCAATGCTCATGACATGATTTCACGGCACGTTTTGGGTTGTTTTTAATGCAATCAACTCGACGGGCACCCCGCCTGTCTGCCTGTGCCCCTTGTCGTATCATGTTTGCTGTTGGTAGCAGGTCCTTTTTTTCTGTGGCTGCTGCCACTGCCACAAATTAGATTTAGTGGCAATTTATTGCTTTGTTAGCATTTCCACGTTCCACACCCAATATTCTGCCCACCGCCCATCGCCATGCTCGCCACCAACTCTTCTGTCAAAATATGCCCCGAAAATGGCACTCTCATCTGCCGCTCGTAATTTGCAATGGTGATACTGCTGCTGCTACTGCTACTGCTGCTGCTGGTTGCCTTTCGCAAAACGTATTTACTTTTTAATAATGTGTGCTTAGTAATTCTATTTGATTTTTTTATTTCACTTCGGCTTGCTCTACAATTTGGTTTATTTCGAGAGATTTTTGTTGTTTTCTTATATTTTTTATACCGTGTACCCATTAAGACCCATTAAGAAGGGTAGCACATGTGTGACAGAAATCCCGTTTTTCCTCTTACTTCCACTTGCTTAGTGTCCACCTCTTACTCTTTCCTTTTTTCATAATATTGTCGCCTTCCTATACGATTTTCATGAATTCAGGTAGGGCTTACTGTATCACTAATAGTTTTTTATTAAGTATTTGGTTTATTTAAATGGAAATGTTGTACAAATGGGTACAGGGTATCTACGGGCTGAGCACTCTGCACTCTTTCTCTTATACTTGGCGTTGGATGGGGCTTCGTCGCGGCACTTGGCAGTCGGTACACACATTAAGTAATTGAAAATTGATGCTGGCAAGAAGACACTGACTATCAAAAGTGCCGGCTGGGGGTTCGCAGGGCAAGAGTGGGGTCATTGGATTGACTCAGTCCATTTAAGAAAGTGCCTCCATTGAGTGCGTAAGCTCGTGGACTTTTCTGTTTCAAGCGCTTGGCAAATAAATACAATTCCTTTTCGAGAATTTCTTAATTTCATTTGTTGCACTTTATTTAAGATTTAGCTGAAATCCACACACACACACACACACACATAAACATATAGAAATAATATCCACGCACACCAAACATCAAAGAATAGAGAGCTACTATTTACTTCATTAATTGCGCTGTCTGAAAAATATATCCATTTACCCGCAGTTCCATTAAAATAAAGCAAAACTAACGTTGACGTTAATTTTGCATATTACCTACCAAAGCTATTATAATTATTTTTGTTCGTGTCGCACTTCAGCTTCTTCCTGCTGCAGTGTCTCCAAGGATACTCTCACTACAAGAGCCGTGTTATTTAACTGATTCTGCCAATTAGCTTTTTTTATTTTAGTACATTCGCACGCATCCAGCATGGAGCGGTTTTAATACTTTAAGCAACACTCGCATACCCTGTAGTCAGACACAAATCAGTGTATTGACTACACATTCAAATATTCTTCTATAAAATATGTGCGAAAATGAGGGAACGTGGAACATGGAACATGGGAGGCCATTATATTTAGACTTGGTTTGAATTGTAAAAAGTTTAAAAAAATAATAAAAAAAAAAAAGAAAATATGAAAATAAATAAAAAACAATATAAATCAATTGTTATTTTAAAATTTGACTAGAACGCAACCAACAAGGGAATATCATTAATTGGATATAACTTATTTGAGTATAATGTTTTTTTTTTAAATTTTTGTTCTTATTATTGATAATAGTCTTATCCTTGTTCAACGAATTACAACATAGGTTGACCCTCGAATCACACTTTCAATTTTCCTCTCCGAAATCGAGTAAACATTGTGTTTAGTTTTATAAGTGTGACTCATGCCAAGTTCTAGGAATCTAGTAGTCCTTTATTATCTAGGGGTATTGTTTAGCAGGGTTTTCAGAAAATAGAATCTAATTCAGATTTGATTTCGGCCTGCAAGCAATTTTAATTTTTCAGTTGAAAAAATTTAAGCTAAAATAATAAATTTTCCTTTTGAATTCGCAACAATAACAAACTGAATATATTTTTGCGATTTTGTGTTTAAATTTACTGAACTTAACTTTCTGTGTTTCTTTAAGTTGAAATCCAGCATGGAGTGCGCTTTCGACATAAGGCCGCTGTTTGAACGCGAGATAATTAAGGTACAGTCAGATCTGCTGCCGGAGGGCTTTCAGGGCGGACCGGAGCAGTGCATGGATATCAAGAGGAAGATGGCTTGGATTATCGACAAGATGGGCCTGCAGTCCGCTGCATCACAGGGCCTGCACACATCGGTAACAAGCGCCCGGCAAATGTGCAACAAGCAGACCATCTACCTGATGGCTTCTAAGGCCAATGAAAGCGGTAAGCTTGTTGTCACTGGTCTCCTGAAGATGGGCCCAAAGGACCTCTATCTGTTTGACGAGCGCGGACAGCTGCGCAGCCGTATAGGCACGCCTGCAGTATTGGACTTCTTTGTGCATGGCTCTCACCAGCGGCGCGGTCTGGGCAAGCGCCTCTTTGATAACATGTTGACCGACCTCGGTTTGAAGTTATGCAAATGCGCGGTGGATCGACCCTCGGCCATGATGACCGCTTTTCTGGCCAAGCACTACGGACTGGTGCGCACCATTGCCCAGGCCAACAATTATGTCCTGTTCGAAGGATTCTTTGGCAACAACGACGGCAACTCGACAGACGGCAAGGACAGCAAGCCAAAGTCGCAATTGAAGTCGCCGGAAAAAGCCGAAAAGGAACTAAAGGTGCTTAGCATGGCTGAAATAATGGAAGCTGGTAAAAGACACTCTCGAGATAATAGACTTAATTTGAAGCGTAGCGGAGATACCAGAAGCTGGCAATAAAAATATACGAAGCCGTACTAGACAGGACGCGACTAGACTCAACTGTGGACCGAACTGGTTTAAACGTAGCGACTCGAGATAGGTATTATATTTGTATCCTACTACACTATACGTTTGCCATTTCTAAACTGTATTTGTCTCACAAATAAATGAAGAATATATCGAATGATAAAGTTGCCGAATCTCAAATTAATATCTTAAATTTATTGGCTTAAGGTTTACCAAATAAAACAGTTTCTTGGGACTGAAATTGAGCCCAATGCTTCTGATCTCTAGTTCAGAAATATATTCGAAAATTGGCCAATTAACCAGATATTTAAAACCAATGCGATATTATACTATAACACACTAACTATATAGTTATTATACTATAACACACTAACTATATAGTTGTTGTTGTTGTTGTTGTAAGCGTGATTGTATGGGTTGCTGTTATTCTTGTTGTTTTCGTTGTTGTTGTTGTTGTTGTTGTTATTGTTGCCACCATCGTTTTTTGCTTGTATTTGCATAGTTTCATTTTCATTAAACTTTTATTTACCGCCACGTTGCCAAATGCCAAAACTTGGCGATTAGGTTGTTAATGATTGCTGCTGTTGTTGTTATTGCTTGGTTTGCATTGCCATAACATTTAATAGGCAGCCAATAGCTGACTAGCGCAAAAGTGCGGGGCAAGTGGGCTGTGTGCGTTTCTCTGCGGACCGGTCTGGGTATCTATGGCCAGTTGAGATCCTCGCAGTTATTATGTCGCATCATTTCAACAAAGTGGCGGCACATGCAAGGCAAACAAATTTCGAGCGCGCTGTGAATTGCGAATGGAGTTTAATTTTTTGGCCATTTCGGCGACGAGCTCGGCTCTTCTAACCGCAAGGCTAGTTATATACAAATATACACATGTATAGATTATATACATATGCATGTGTATGTGCGATATGTTGGCAAGAAACAATGACGGTCAGAAAACCAAATGAAATTCTGCTGAACCAACACACAAACAGGCACAGACGCTCACACATACAGCTAGAGATAGACAAACACAATGGAAAAAATATTAAAACTCAAAATTTTTGTCACGTGTCAAACGCCATTTATGCGCTTCGTGATCGCACGCGGCTCAGTCTCGAGCTCACCCATACATCTGCACATGAGCCAAGCACACCCGCCCGCACACACACACACACACACACACAGATACGCACGCTCCAATCGCAATAGCAATACTAATACTAATGCACACACGTAGGCAGTAGCCAGGAGGACACGTAGACGACGCGTCGCAGCGGTCGCTAGAAGCAACAGAAAGTTGGATAGCGAGAGAGAAATATATCAAGAGTGGGATGGAAAGCAAAAATACGAGACTCTGTTTTTAATATACGCTTGCTAAGGGTCTTATAATTGTGTCACGCAATGTGTAACGCATTCGGGTAGAAATCCCTGTTTATATATTCTTGATCCATTTATGTGTCTTTTGTTCTTTTGCAAGCTCGAGGCAATTAGTTGATAAAATATATTCATAAAACTGGACTCAGATCCGACTCTTTGCTCGGCCAAAAGCAAGGCCAAATTATTATCGAAAGCTTCTTTCAGGACATATCAAGTTTATTTAATTTATTCTTGTTATTATTAGTTTTATTATTTTATATGTTAATTGTATTATTATGACTGCAGATGGGGATTAAAATCTTATAGATAAATTACTCAAAATGCATTCTTATATATCTTCCGGGTCTGAAGTAAAAGATTTGCACGTCTATTTTTGTATATAAAAAATGCATTTAACTTAAACTTGAGCTGGCATCAAATGTTTGGCTGTTCCGACGTCTACAGCTGCGCTCCTGTATGTTTGTGGCATAGATATATATTTGGCTAAACTTTGGTGCATGTTGCTGACGTTTTGAATGCTCAGAAAATTGTCTGATTTTGAAGTTGTGTGTGAGTACTATTGTGAATCAGGTTAAAAGCTGGGTATGTGCTCTAGTGTGCTTTGCGTTGATGCTTTTAAGTGCGTGTGTGGCCGCCCACGGACAACTTTTGCACGTTTCTTGCTTTTATGCACACACATATAAATGAATTTTGCTGTGTGTGTGCGTGTGTGTGTGTGTGTGTGTGTGTGTGTGTGCGTGTGTGTGTGTGTGTGTGTGTGCGTGATTATGTGTCCGTGTGTGTGAGTGCGGCAGTTTTATTAACACATATCGATTGTTCTACTGCGCTGCTAGCCATTATGCAAACTTTTAAATAATACAAATATTATTGCACTGTTTTGTTAACCTTTTCGATTTTCTGTTTTCATATTCAATATGCTTTTGATTTAAGCAGTTAACACTATTAAAATTTTAACTGTTAGAGCTGCTTTTAATTCAGTTTTAATTTCATGATTTGTTTTCACAGCAAGTATTTATTTGCTATGCACAGTGCATACATGTGTCTTTTAATTGTAAATTAATTTTCGATCGAAATGTTGGTCTCTAATTTTTTTCGTTTATTAAATTTTAGATTTTTCATTGAGCACGAGGCGTATGCGAAATATTGCGCATACGCTGCGTGCGTCATCGCCGCATATTGCATTTGTTGACCACATATATATACGCAAATACTGCACAGCCTAATTATAAATTCAATTTAATTTGAATTTGGATTTTTGAAACCATTTGTATAAACACTCAATATTTAATGACCCGCTGCTCTTTAAAGCAGGCGTTGCTGGCAGTCTCTAGCAGAAATTGAGTATGCCATTACGAGTTGATGGACAAGGGGCCAACTATAAGAGTTCTTGCCGTACTGAGCAGGTAAAGTCCAATTTGGCTGGGTATTCCTGGAAATGTCCAGAATTTGCCGCTGAAAAGGCATTTCATTTGGCTAGCTACGAGAGCACTGAGTGACTTGCACAAACCAGCAGTTTTTGCCAAAACCAATGCCAAAAGCTGCTGCAGCTTCACCTGCAGCCTGGCACGGCAAAAAATAACAGCCTACAACTGGCTCAAAGCGTTCGTGCATTTATGACCCGAAATTCTTGAATCACAAGCCAACATGCGAGCCAATTAATGAGCAAAGTACCCACAGTACCTTTAACCTTCAGAGCTAAACTGCATATTGATTTTGTTCGATAGATCACTTTAAGCCTACACTGAAAAACAATTGAGAATACAAGTAAATGTGTGCTTTAAAGCACATTTTCAATAAAGTCAATTGAATTAAAGCTTGGTTAGCGAAAGCTTAAGGGGATTTGAAGCTTTAGATATGAATTAAACAATAAACGCATTTCAACGCATTTTTTCTTATGAAAAAAGACTTCTTAAAAGGCTTAAACAGCGTATGCTAGTGCTTATTAATATTAATATACCATTATAGCAGATGTAAGCCCGCAGACTTTAACTGGCGCTTTTAAGGGTCTTTAATGCATATCCTAAACGAATCGTATGGCTTCGCTAACAGCAAAGCTCTAATATTGCTCCTAATGAGGGTTGCCGTCGCGCAACCCTATTTGAATACCGTCAGCGATGAGAAACTGAAGTCGCAGCCTACTTTTTGGGGAGCAGCCCCAATGTCAGTATCGTTCACAAATCAGATGGCTGAGGCAACCTTTTAAAGCCGCATCAGCAAATATTTAAGCTCATTCCAGGCTAAAAATACGTGACGCCCACTGTCTCTTTCCCTCAGCCAAACTCCGTGCGTACAAACCAAAAAAAACAAAAAAACATGAAGAGAGCCAACGAAAATATTAGAATGGGGGCAGCACGTTTAAAAATAGCAAAATGAATGAATATTAAATTACGATAAATAAAAAGCAAGTCGAGAACTTGAAAGCCCCAAAAATACACGACCATATTCTAGACTTTTGCACAGCTATTGGTTCACTTTTGTTGTTGTCATCATTGTTGTTGTTGTTTTTGTTATTGTTGCTGCTGCTGCTGCTGCTGCTTCTGGTTGGTTTTTATTGCATTTCCGTAAAGTAAGCCATGTAAATCACTTAAGAGTTCTGATGGCTCGCGACTTGCCCCACGTAGCTGCTCTAAAAAGCACATAAAGCAAAAATGCTGTGAAAATCATTTGTTACACTACGCGTATGGATAACTGTAAAGTGCCTTTCTGCCATTCGCAGGGTGTGTGCGTGCATATATGTGTGTCCGTATGTGAATGTGTGTGTGTGTGTGTGTGTGTGTGTGTGTGTGTGTGTGTGTGTGTGTGTGTGTGTGTGTGTGTGTGTGTGTGTGTGTGTGTGTGTAGCTTTCGCTGTTACAATAATGTGCACTTATTTTTTATAGCAATCATTTAAGACAAAAATGTAGCAAAAGCACAACGAAGTAAAAGTAAAACAAAGCAACCAAGTCACTAAAAAAAAATAAAAATAAATATACTTATGTGTATATGTATATACGTCAGACACACACACATAGCCATATGTATATATTTTCTAAAAGTCTAACAAAAAGATGCGAAATGGCGTCCGGAAATGTTTGCGCAACTGGAAGTTCAAGCAGCCCAATTTCCACTCCCCATTCCGTTCGTCTTGTTATCCTGTTGCGATTCCCAACTGGTTAACCCAGTTGTGCTGCATCTGAGCTCAAAACTCAACCGCTTTTGTTCCATCGCTTATATACAATTACATATATTTGCAACGCACTCGCTATCTGTCTCTTTCTCTCGCCGTCTGCTTCAATATAGCTGCCACCCATTCCGCTGATGAGCGTCAATCAAGGAAATTGCTACTTTTTCAACAATTTTTCACTCGCTTTGTGCTTAAGCCGCGGGCTACATGAAAGTCAAAAACTGGCACTCGTAATCGCGGTCGATGTATTCAAGTATTCGCTGCGTGAATCTCGTTGAGGTGAGTGACAGAATTGAGGTTGATTTCTCCTGAGCGCTGGATCGAGGGAATTAGAATTGAACTAGAGCTCATAACGTTCTACTTTTTTTATTCTCATGCCCATTCAAAATGGAAATCGATATAGAAACGTAGAGCAAATGCATGTGTGACAGGGCATTAACGACTTCTTCGGACCATGGCGTAAGCCAGCCATTTGCTTACGACTATTAGAGCGCTAGAGAAATTCAATTTGGCCAAATTAATTTGAGAATTTTTATAGCCCATTTCAGCACCAAAAATTTCCAACTTTCATTCTGGAAATTTACACACACGCAACACTATCCGAGCACTTAATACTTCAATACTGGGGT